TTTTTTAAAAAAAAAAAAAAACTAAGATCTTGAACGGTTTAATAACGTTTTCATTTTATCAGGGTGCAACTGGAGAGTCAGGACCGGGCGGCGGACCAGGTTCTACTGGAGCTGAGGTAAAGTTATCAGCACGCTCGCCAGAATTTACATGTATCTTAGCAACAGAAGACATGTCTCGCCTCAGTGATAAGCTTCATCAATCGCGCGTTCTTGGCAGTTTATAAGAGAAAAACTTTTGATTTTCCAATGGTTTCATGAGGTTTCCGGGTTTTAAACGGGGCCAGACTTTAACGGCTTATAATGGCCAACGAGGGCGTGCTCATTGTCTTGGCTTTTGTACAAAACCGGGTCGAGAACAAGTCAGAAATTATTCCTAGGGTCCTGCGTTAGAAAAACATTACAGGGAATTAAAGTAACCGTTTAGACACCCTTCCCCTTTGTTGCTGGTTTTTGAAAGGACTTTTTTGCATCACCTACAAAAAGGAGTGTTAAACTCATGGCGATCAAAACGTGTAGAAGGGAATGGGTCAGGGTCTTGTGTTTTTTGCACTGCGCGCCGCACTGCGCCAGTTTTAAAGAGACGAGAACACCACAAAAAAGTAACTTCAGGGGCGTTGATGCGACCTACTGTAGCGTTTGTACAATGCACACACGAGGGACATCCCGCGTAATACTGTTAAACCCCGCTATTTCAAACTCTCAGGGGAAACGAAAAATAGTTTGAAATAGCCGATTGTAATGAAGGGCTAATCCAAAGGGAAATGGTTTGGGGTTCGAAATAATGGGGAAGTCGAACTAACCGAGTTCGAATTAGCGGGGTCAAACTATACGAGGAAATACCTGGCATTATGAATTGTCTATAAACTATAAATGTGAAATGTCTTTTCCCTTTTCAGGGTTCCATAGGCAGTGTAGGACTCAAGGGATATCGAGGCGATTCAGGAGAAGAAGTAATGGTTATTTAACACAATTTTACCTCTGATTACAGACTGGTGGCACTTTATTTCGAGACATTGTTTTGTTATTCTGCTTGTGTCTTATACAGGGTGAGGCTGGTCAACGAGGATCGATGGGAAATTCGGGACTTCCAGGACCATCGGTAAGAATTAAAAAAACCTTTTCATTCGATGCATTTGTTTCCTTCTCTTCATTGATCGAGAGCCCACCACGTGACTTGCAAATACCTATCCACCGATAATGGTCTGCTCATGCGTATTACCATCTAAACGTGTTTTTCTGCAACTAATGTTCTGCTCATGTGTAATTGTAACCACGCTCTTGGGTGAAAATTGGCAAATTGCTTCCCTGAGCTGTCCGAGAGTGATTTAAATATGAAAACAAATTTGGTGATCAAATGAACTCGGTTACCGCAAAATATCATGATTTGTCAGTGTCTCGCAGATCAGTTATTTGCCTCATCCTTCTGGTTCTGCAAATAATTGATCTGCTCGCCACTGACAAGTCGCGATATTTTGCTCAACCTCGCCCAATAATTTTTAATTATTTCACAATTTCGACAAAACTTAAAACTGACTTTTTTTTGCGTTGCTCTTTTAGGCAAGAGATATGCATATTCCCAGCGAAATTTTCACTATTGTTTTATACCTACCGGGGAAATCAGCTCATATTGTTATTCCGGCTGCAATTTATATTTAATAACGAAACGTTTTTGTATATTTTTAATAATCGGCTTTGTTGTTGTTACATAGGGGCCAGCGGGAAGCGAAGGAGTCGCTGGTAGAGATGGTCGTCCAGGCAGAAAGGTATTAGAATTGTTTTTGACTTTAGCAAAGGATCGAATTTACACTTGAAGAATCCCAAAAGAAACTTGGTGGTCACTAATTAATCGATATTTGTCCGCGGACATCATCTGTTCCGAGAAGCTCTGAGGAACAGCTATTATCCAAGGACAAATATTCTTGCAAATGGAGTCTATTGTGTTTATTATCCTTCAAATATTTCTCGCTACACGCGCAGTTTTGAAATTAGAGAATATCACTCAGATATTCCCCAGTTTTCGCTGGGGCATACTCAGCCACCCGACGCGTTTAGACAAATCGCGCGCTAGCCTATTGAAAGATGTTGTGTCTTTGGTCAACCAAAGCACAATTTCATCTGTGGTTGCTTATACGCTAGGGTGAAGCTGGTGACTTTGGAGATCCTGGAGATAGAGGAGCCACTGGAGCTATGGTATTTACACTTTTCTTGTTCAAGTTGTTTCTTTCTTTGGCCTATATCTTTCAGTTATGATTTTCAGAGTCTTACCTTGGAACATGAGACGACTAAGAGCTCTGTAACACCCCCCCCCCCCCCTCCCGAACACAATGTTTGCTCATTACAGTTTCTGCAAACTATTTGCCATTGGAGACCACTTGATTTTCAGACGGAAAATTTGACAAGTAACTCAAATTATAACATAATCGTTAAACACGTTGCTACGTGTTTCTTTAAAAGTTACCACATTTCGCTTTGATGTCACATTTTGCTTTAATGTCTTACGCATGACACTCTGAGAGTTATAGTGACAGCAGTGTCTTCCTCAGAACAGCCCTGAAAGTTCGAACCCAGTCCTTCCCTTGATATAGTTACTTGATTAATATAAACTAAATGCATTAAAGCATTATATTGGCGGCTAGTTGGGATAAAAAATATTTTCGTATTGTCGCGCAGTGACTGCAAACCGACGACTTCGAATGATTAAACACGGTTACCTGCCTTCGTCTCCTACATAAAACTCACTATTATACTGAGTAAATATAAACTCGTAGAGATGATGTACGTAGTGTGCAGTAAAAGTTATCTACACTGTGCAAATGGCAACAAGTTAGAGATTAGCGGCGATTCATGGCTTTAAGTCCTAAAATTTGACCTATTTCAGTATTGTGTTGTCATGGCAAGTTTTCAAGCAATCAGGCGCGGCAAAAGTAACTAAAAGTGAGACGACATTACCGTAAAATAATGTCGTCTCTCTCACGTAAGCAAAACTGCACTGTATCTATTTTCGTTTGTTCATGCATGCACGTATGCGTTCATGTATTCATTCATTAAGAATAGTTGTTTTTATTTTCAACGTTAGGGTCGGCCAGGTCAACCTGGATCTCCAGGGGAACTGGGATCTGGTGGAATTGCAGTGAGTACAACCCTTCAAAATCTATGAGGAATTTACAAGTTGAAAAGAAAATTAAAACGAATAATAATACGTCCTTCCCTTCTTTATTCAGGGTATAGCTGGACTCACAGGGCCAGCCGGACCTGCAGGGGCTGCTGGGATGCGGGTGAGACGATTCATTCATGGCGGTTTGCTTATACGTTAGTCTTAGATGGAATGATCTCATTGACCTCAATAAAAAGCAAAAAAGGGCCGTTCTGAAAACCACGACTGTGATGACCACACCCTGCTCAAAGAATATTATTACTATTATTGATCTGTTAGTTACTTTGTTTTTT